CAAAAGGCCATAGGCTGCCTAAACATGAACTGAGCAAGGGTGACATTAATGGACATGCCAAAGTGAGTGGGGGAAAACCCACAAGAACTACATGTAACTATGAAATTCTGAGAATAAGAGAAATAGTCTTCTCCAGGGAAGGGCACACCAATTGGTTATCCAATCCTAAATGGTCAGCCCTGACAACACACACTCAAGAAGCATTATTCAGACACATCATGCTGTATTTAGGATACATACATATATGGATATAGCAGCAATTTGATGAAAATGGAGGCCATAACTTTGAAATAGAACAAGGAGGAGCACATGGGAGGGTTGGGAGGGAAGAAAAGGAAGATGAAAATGATGTAATTATATTATAATCTCAAAGAATAAAAGTAACTAAAAACAACAAACCTCAATATATTTTGATCATATTCTTTCCCTTTCCTTGGCCTCCCAGAGGAATTTTATTTTTTAAAATAAGAATTATTATTGAAAATATTTGAATGGAGAATAGGTTATCATTTATTCAATCAATATTTGATGAACATGTATATTAATGGAGGACTTCTTGTTTGACCTTTTAGATTCCTTCTGGCTTTCAAATTCAATGATTTTAATTTCCCATTTAAAACCTTAATTGTTCAAAATGAAGGTCACAGCTTGGAGTTGTTCAAGTAGATTTCTTTATTTGGAGCATAGATGCATATTTCCTAGAACTTTTAAAATGCCATAATCAGTGCTTGCGACTCCCTTAGAATAGGAGATGTGTTACATGATTAGAAACATTCTTTTCTTTCTGCGCTATGTGGAGCCTTGGCCTCATCTGAGGTAGAGGAAGAAACTGACAACAGGTTTGCATTTTCCCCTCTTTGCTTGTGTCTGTCATTCTTAAGGGTGACTCTGCGGTGTCGGGTGACCAGTCTTACAGTGCCCTGAACACTGTTCAACCAAGCCCTTTTCGTGATGGATAAAAATTACAGAAGAAGAATGGAAGCAACAATTATACGAACTAGCTTGATGTCAATTGCCTTTATCAGAAGAGTTGGGAAGAGTGTGGACAATACAGAAATAATAACCAATTTTTGTGCCTTCAGGATTTGTACAGAGAGTTTTGGTCCATGTTTATACTAGGCGTGTTTATACTAAGTAAGACCTTCAGTGGGCCCGTCTCCACTTAAGTATGAGGCTTTGGGTTTCATCTGAAAGGCTTCCTCAGTTACCTACTTGTAAGCTGAGAATTACTCCAGGTCTTTACCTTTAATTCTCTTCTTCCTCCTTTCTTCCCCTCATCCTCTTTCCTTCCTCTTTCTCCTCTTCTCCCCCTCTCTACTCTCTCTTTTCTCCTTTCTATGGAATCTCTCAGGACACTGGGGACATAGTGGCTGCTTCTTCCTAGGATGTCTTTCTCTCTTGGTTCCATGCTGTGTTTTGCTTGCTTATTTCATGATCATCTTATGTTCTGAAATTTCCCTCCTAAACGTGGCCCCCATCCAGCCTGCAAGGCAGTGGTTCTCAACCGGTGGGTTGAGACCTGTTTGACAAATCTCTATCTCCACAAATATTTACAGTAATTTCATAACAGTAGCAAAATTACAGGTATGAAGTAGCAATGAAAATCATTTTATGGTTGGGGGGTCACCGCAGCATGAGGGTCACAGCATTAGGAAGGTTGAGAACCACTGCTGTGAGGGCAATGGGTGAGCCCTGTTATTTTCTATTGCTCTTATTTCCAATGAGACTTAATTGTGCCCTAAGGATTCATGTTCTTTTTCTGGCTTGATCTTGAGCTGGTGGAAGAAGATCCTGGATTTCAGTGGATAATCTATGAAGGTGGGGAATTCAATAAATATGCATCATCTCTTCCTTTGCTTGTGAATGAATGAGAAATGGGTATACACAAATTTTATACAATATGCTCTTCCAGTGAGCACATAAGCATAGTTATCATATTAATAAGGCAAATAATCTGTTTCCTGATTTGGGGATGGGCAATTGCTTCTAATTAAGTCTCATGTCTGTCTGTATATCAGAATTTTTCAGGAAATTTTACAAATAGGAACCTTCCCTGGCAATCAGGAAAAACCCGTTTATATTTTTCTACCTCAACTTGATGCTTCAACAATCATGATTTAGATGTGTTTCCCCAAATTCACACTTTAGTAACGTGGTCCTCAATGTGACAGTGATGAGGGCTGGGGCCTTTAGAGGCCGTTAGTTATGTATCACCTCAGGGATGGATGGATGCCCTTAGTTTTCTCGGGGGTGGGTTTCTGACAGAACAGTCCATGTGGTATCCTTCCCTTGCTCCTCGTCCTTCTGCCTGCTGCCATGGGATGGAACAGCATGGAGACCTTTGCCAGATGTGAGCCCCTTGCTCTTGAGCTTCTCAGACTCTATAAATAAACTTATTTTCTTTATAAACTGTCCAATTGGTAGTATTCTTTTATAGTCATTCAAAATAGACTGGGACAATGGGTTTCCTAGACCAGTGCATCTTAAACTTTTGCACACATATAACCTGCTCAGGGATCTTGTTAAAATACAGATTCTGATGCTGATTTAGTAGATACAGGGTGATGTGTAGGATTTGTCATTTGGAAAAAGAACTAGGTGATACCAATGACATCGATCTGGATGAATAGAATAGCTTGCTCAGGCCAGTGGTTTTCAATCCTAGAGTGCATGAAGAGTGCAAGAAGCAAGGGGTTACCTGAGTTATCTGCAAGCCAAAACTCCAATGCAGGCTAAATCAAAATCTCTGGAAATTATATCCCAGACACTGATATTCTCAAAGAATTTCCCCCAGGGGATTCAAATATTAAGATGGAATTGAGTGAGAATCATTGCTTTACAGGTAAAGTGACCACATCTACTGGCTGTTTCTCTGAATCAGAGCAAGAGACAAGAAGCAAGGCCCTGGGTTCAATCCCAGATACTGTACCAAACAAACATGTGCCATGCTTTGTTGACACCCATGGGAGGCCTGTTCCTTTCTGAATGGATATAGAGGAGTGGATGGGGAGGGAGGTAGATGAGAGGTGGGGAGTGTAGGAGAGAATAGGAGGAGAGGAGGGAGGGAAAACTGTGGTTGGTACATAAAATAAATTTTAAAAATTAATTAATTAAAAAAGAATATTCTATGGAGATAATCATGTTGAGGACTCCGGTTGCATGGCAATTTGAGAGTGGCCTAAATAGGCTCATATATTTGAATACTTACTGCAGTTGGTGGGAAAGGATTAGGAAATATGACCTTGGAAGAGGTGTGTCACCAGGATAGGGATATGAGGTTTCAAAAGACTTGTGCAATTCCTAATTCTCTCACTCTCTCTCCTCCACCTCTCTCTTTTTTCTTGTAGATCAAGATATGAGCTCTAAGTGTTTCTTTTGATCCACCATCATGGACTCTAATCCTCTGAAATCATGAGCCAAATGAAACACTTCCTTTTATAAGTTGTCTTAGCACGGCAATAGGAAAGTAACCAGTACAGGCTCTCAGTACCCATTGAGTGAGCTTAAAGTAGATCTAATCAAGCCCCGGATGCCCACAGCCCTGGCTAACACCTCAGCTGCAGCCTGATGAGAATTCTTGGGCAAGAGAGAGGCCAACAATCACACTTAGATTTCTGACCCACAGAAAATGTGACATAATGAAATGAATGTTTTTGAGGTTAAGCCTTTCAATTTTTAAGTAATTTATAGTAATAGATAACTTGTATGCCTACTGGGAAAAAAAAAAACCTGTCTTCATTTATTCAAATCTTGACTCTTTCAAGCCTAGAAAATTCTAAGAAAATCTTTTTCACAGAGATTGTCCTTTCATGACCTCTTAGGGTATTGCATATAAAATCAGTAATATTCATTGTTATATAGCTAGCATGTGTTATATCTTTCAATTTTGGTATTTCCAATTTTTAAGTGAGTTTACAACATAATGGGCTTCACAATGACATTTCATACACATATCATTATTTACTCATATTTATTCTTTGCATTTTTGTATTCTTGGGTACTCTTTAATTGTAATTGCTGATGCTAGGTCTTCTGAAGAAAAACTGTAAGCACATTGATAAGGATTTTCCTTCCTCTATTCTCATGACCTATCCTGATACCATGAATGCCACCAGGGGCTTTAAGTCATGTATGGTAAAGATGGTATTGTAAGGAATGTTGACTGGAAGGCATTTCAAGATCCAACTTTTAGTTTCTGCAGTCATTTCCACTGGGCATGTTTAGCTTTACATGAGGAGAAGATTCCAAATAGACATCTGAGGAGAAGGCAAGGTGGCTTCTAGAATACGTGCCCTAATGATCCCCAAATGCTTGCATCTTTAAGTGCCTGGCCACCAGTCTGCTTACTGGGCTCCTCCAGACCTCACACCCTGTGGACTCAGCTCTTCTTAGGTGTCCATGTATTATTTTGTTCACTTGATTCACGGTCAACACAGTCTGTATCATGGTGACTACCATCTGTTTACAAGATTCTTCTAGTGACCAGTGTGAAGGAAAGCAGTATCTGTATTACCCCTCTCTGCCTGCACCCCTGGGGCCTCAGAACTCTTCTCTAGCCAAGAAAGAAAGCTTTTACCATTTCAAAAAGCAACCTTACTCACTCTTCAGAGCCAGAGTTAAAATGGATGCTGATAGCTTTGGGAACTTTGATTAGAATGCTAATGGAAAACAATCTTATCTAGTTTCTACATAGGAAAGCTTCCGATGAGCTACAACACTCATGGTGGAAGACATTCTGCTCATCAGTTTGCTGTTTCAATATGAGGGGCCTGAAGGTAGTGAAGGTTGAGGGCCTGTTGGTCTCTCCACACAAACTCTTAGCAACCTTTTCTTCTATCTTCAACTGGTATAGAAACCTCAAAGATCAGGCCTTGCCCCAACTCAGCTCCACTCTCTCTTATCAGAGGTGACTGTTAATGTAATCAGGAGTCCCATCTCAGATGTGGTGTGGAGTTCAACCTGAGATGATCTCTTATTGGGTCTGCTGCCTTGGTTTGACCCTAGACTTTCTTGAAGCGGTCAGAAGCAGCAACTGCAGCACTGTGGATATCTGACCCACAGTAGTAAGTGCCGGTGTCTTTCCTTGTTGCCTTTTCAATGTCAAGTATAAACTGACTTTTTGAAGCATCAATTTCCCCTTTGAAATTACCCATTAAATCATCAGTAGAACTATTATTTAGTTTGTATACTAAAATCAGAGCATTGTCTTCACTCTTCTTATACCAGCTCATTTGGTAGTTCTTCAAGTCCCCTCCTGTTACAGTGCAGTAGAATTTGGCAGAATTCCCATCTGAGACAGTTATTTGGTCAACTTGTTCCAAAATTACATCCAAAGAGACCCCTGAAGGAAAGAACCTAAAGTCAGAGAGTTTGCAAAGAACTTCCTCCACTCCAAGAGGATGGAGTTTTGGAGAATGCTAGGCATCAATTCACCCTATTATGTCTCCAGAAAATTATTCTAGAGATATACTTCCCAATGAATAAAAGGCCCAGGTGCCTGTCCTTACCTGTACAGAAGATGAAAATGTAGAAGATGGGACTTCTCCAAAACATGGCTTCACTGAGGATGACTTTACAGTAGGCTGGTGCTGCCCCGGCTGCCTTGCCAAGACTCACCTCTGTCTCTGTCTCCGTGGGAATCCTTATCTTCTGTAAAGGTGGTTTGATATTAGTCACTTCCTCAGAGAGACATGTGGCAGGCTAGTGAGGTCATGGGCTGTTAGGATGGTAATTCAACAAACACAGACTACCCCCACCTATTGCAGGCCGGATATTATTTGGGAGATGTAAAAGCGAAAAAATATGGCTTCCGGCTTCAAAGAATTCAGGTTTTTTGTTGTTTGTTTGCAGGGAAGTGGAGAAAACAGACAAACAGCAGTGACAGGAGAATTAGTTTCTACAAAAGAGGTAGCCCCAGTGTTCCAAGAGCACCAAAGGAGAACTTCCTGGGATGCTCAAAGCAGGGAATCCTGGATTGAGCCCTAGCAGCTGAATAGGACATGGCAGATTTTCTGTCTAGGGAGCTCTGCAGGGGAGAGAGAAGGCATGAGATGAAGTGTTGCAGTGTGTGAGTGCTACCTAGCCCTTCTGCAGCTTCCAGATAACCTCTTGTGTGGTCCCTTAAACCTGGCTGTTGTCTCCTCTGGTCTTAGGCCTTTCCCTACTTGTACTCAGTACCTACAGGAAAGTACTTCCAAGTTCAAAGGTGTGTTATGTAAGTCTTGATCTGCTTTTGCTGTTCCTTCTTCCTGGATGATAATAACCTTCCTTCTCTCTTTCTCACTACCATGAGGGAGGCATCCCCTGGATTTACTGAAATGTTAGGTGGTGGCACTAATCAACTTTATTCTAATTGTCTGAGAATTGGTTTCCTGTCTAGAGTTTTAAGATTATTTAAAGGTTTTTTAAAACAGAAAATTATTTACACATGCACTCCCATTATCAGGCATAGATATGTCAATATTAGATATTTACTGGTCAAAGAGGATCTTTGCTTGGAGTCCCTGAGTCCCGAGGAGCCCAGATGACTGGTTGCTCACTCTAGTGAAGGCTGCGTTTAGAGAAAGATTTATCAGCAAATAGGCTAACACCTGAGGTATCTATGTTTTCTGCCCACCTTTGTGGATGTCTTCAGCAACAAGGTCACACCTATATAAACAGAACTTGCTTGCAATTGCCACTCCGCTGACCACCATTATATAAAAGGAACACTGATTTTGCAGGTCTATCTATGGCTTGAGTCTTGCTTTGGAATTTGCCAATACTAGTTGATTTACATCTTGAAGCCTTAACCTCCTCATTTGTAAACAGAGAAATTTTAGTTTACTTTGTAGGGATGCTGTGAGGTGGGAATGAAAAAACCCAGATAAGTAGTGACTCTGGCTTGGAGTATATCTGTAGGCTCACCAGAGAAGCTGATTTCTTTATGTTGCCTCTTCTGTCTTGCCATGGTAGGTTGTGACCTGGTCATAACTCCCTGCCTAAGTCATGGTTACTAGGGAAGACAGAACTTGTAATTTCAAGTCTGATACAGAACAGAGTCCTCTGAGGAAGGGAGGTTCCTGCCCAAGTTTGTGAGTTTGTCTGTAGGTCTCTGAACCTGAAAATGCAGGGAGCCATGTCAGAGATGTAGTGCTATCATCTGTACATTTAGGCAAAGGCCCTAAGAGCAGAGAGCCTCAGTTATTCCAGCTCATACAGGGTGAGCAGGGTTTTTAAGAGGCAAAAAGTGGTCTAATAAAACCAACTCCTATTCCATACGCTCCTTGCTTGCTAGCTTTCCACTCTGGCATTGTGGTACTGTCTGCTGGTCTCTGGGGACACTCCAGTGTTCACAGGAGAGAGCCAGACTGATGCTCTATATTAATTAGAAACTTTAGGACTTGCTTTGCTTTTGGTTTGAGAACATATCCATTCTCCCCACCTTCCTTGAGTCTTTGAGGGAAGAAAGTGGTAAATGTAGTGAAGAAAAGCTCTTTCTTTGGTTTATCTTCTAAACACTACCCTCAGACATCTCATGAAAATGGTTAGTTAACAGTCCAATGGGCTGCCACGCGTGCCTGTGATGGATTTCGGTTTGGGATGGCCTTTATCGACTGTCAGTCTGCTTCTAATCTGTTTTTTTACTTTCTCTGCTGTCATTGGCTGGCTGGATAAGAGAGCAAGAACAGAGGTGACAGAAGAAAGGGGTGGCATTTGTGTTTTCCCCCAGACAGATATAGGACCTCAGCTGCTGGGCATCCCAGGACTGCCTTCAGAAAAAAAAAAAAAAAAAAGATTCTTCTCCTATGTCTGTTTTGAGTTTAGAATGTGCAGGCTGCTGGGGTTTCTTTATTTCTTTGATTTGTTTTTCCTGAAATGTCTGTGCTTCGTTGGTTGTTTTAAAGCAAACATGAGAGATTTTGCCAATATTCCATCTGCAATTCACTTACCCAGCTGTGTGGCACTGAATGAAGCAGCTGCCAAGAAAAACAGCAGAGGTGAGCTGAGACTCCTTCCAGTTGTAACTCTGCTGCTGCTGCTGCTGACTTGGGACCTTGGGATGTAAATAAATAAACATTTTCACATTTAGTTGCAGCTCAAGGTTTGATCCCACTAGGATGTTTTCTTGGTTCCCAGCAGCAGTAGCAGCAGCTCATCTTGGGATCTAAATGTCATAATTCCAATCTATGCTTCACTCTGGCGGCCCTCTCTTAATCACTGCCAAGAATCAGCCTCTTGTTCCCACACGTGCCTGGAATGGCTCCTCTGCTGCCTTGTGTGCTCCAGCACCGTGTGAACTCCACAGTCAGTGGGGGTTTGTGCTGCTCCCTTGACCTTGATTCTTGTCAGGACATAGTGGACATGCAATGCACAGTGTTGAAACATTAATTACTCCAAATCTACATGCTGAGACTTGCTGTTGATAGTTGAACACTTAACTAGTTGAACGTTCCTGGCCACTGTTTCCTCAATGTTTGTCCCTCATAGATGAGATGGGGAGACTGAAGGGCTTGCTAGAGAGGTTAAGGTGGTTAGAACAGACTGGAAGCTTCCATTAGCTCCAACATGATGTTTATTTTGATTCCCACAAGTTGGTGCCTGGAAACCTGTTTTTGGGCAGTTCCTGTCAGTCAATATATAGCACTCCAAGCCATGGTCCTCTTTCTTCAAACTTTCCTTTATCATTTGTGGTAGCTTGCCTCGGAAAAGAAGAAAGATAATGCAATTACACACGCAGCATTGGATAATGAATGGAAGATCAGGGACCTGACAGCGAGTCATGGTTCCCTCTTGCATGTGACAGTAGACTCCCTTTCTGGTAGACAATATATCAGAGATCTCAAGAGTGTGTATCCCAAATTTTATTCAACAGTTCTGAGCACATGTCCTCAGTGACCCTAAGTGTCTTAGGGGAAAAGCAAGTCCAGCAAGAACAGCCAAACTTATGGAATTGGTCCAGTGAAACTAAGCCTTTGGAATCTGATCCTAACACCAAATTCAGCATAGAATTATCTCCAACTTCTCATCCCAAGGAAAGAAAAAACATTTCATGCTATCCTGTACCTCCAAAGAGCTTATCTCAGGGGGCACCAGTGCTGATAAGCCCATATGTTGGCTGCAAGTGAGAAAACCAGCAAGATGGCAGGGGATGAAGCTTCCATTCAAGAACAAACAGGCTCTGAAACCCAGGAAACATGCATCATTAGAAGAGATGTGTGTGTGTGTGTGTGTGTGTGTGTGTGTGTGTGTGTGTGTGTGTGTGTACATATGGAGACTGGGGGCTGATGTTGGATGTCTTTCTCTCTTGCTCTCTACTGGAGAAGACAGCCTTTGCCCACTGTCAGCTCTCAGCTCAGCAGTTCATACCCAGGAGTCACCATGGTGGTTTCTGCAATAACCTAGGCTGATGTTGCAGTGTCTTTGGGCAGCCTGGAACCTTGGGCTGAGCTTGACATTTCTTTTAAAGGATGTAGTAAGGTCAGATACACTTAGACTTCTTTTGTTGCCTTGTTGGAAGTGGAATCTTTTTCAGGTTACCTAGTATGCTGGTATTTTGATAGACTTAATTCATTATCTATATTTATGTTCACAAACAGCTTTAATTTTATTTCGGGATGTATGTTTGTAAATTATTCCATTATTCTGCCCACTTAATGAGTGGAGGCTTTGTTGTATTTTAATATCTCACAAAGTCCATGTTTGCTTGTTTTATGAGGGTCAAACAAAAATTACCTTCTTATTTGCTTTTTCCTATGTAGTAGGCCCTTAATAATTTATCAGCATCCTTTGCAACATCCTTTGAAAAAGATCTTGAAGGTCTTTTCAATTGTATTTCTCTAAATTCCCATCGATATTTAGTTCTTACTAGAGGGGATGTTAATATAGAAGAATGCATATGTTTCCAAGAGACTGACTTAATTTTGTCTGTTGTGTACATAGTATATGCATGTGTGTGTATGCATGTGGGCACATATGGAGAACAGAGGTTGGTATTGGATGTCTTCCTCTCTTGCTTTCTACCTTATTTTATAGAAACAGGACTGGAATTCAGTGATTCATCTAGCCAGCAAGCTTCAGTAATCCTCTTGTCCCAATGCCCTTGGTGCTAGGATTACAGTTGTGAGACATTATGTTCAACTTTTTTACATGGGTTTGGGGGATATGAACTCAGGTCCTCATGTGTGCAGAAAAGGCAGTTTACTGACTGACCCATATTTCTAGGCCAGAGATTGGCTCAATTCTTATAAACAACTTCCTAAAGTCTCAGCCCGGTCAACTATAGGAAAATGTGGTAATTATCACCATAATAGCACCATCAAGAGTACAGTAGTTGATGTGTTTTCTGTGTACCAGGCCTTGCTCTAAATATATCGACACTAGATCATTCACTTAATTTTAGCAATGATTCTCTCATAAAAGTTTTGATGAGGAAAGAAAAGCACAAAGTAACTTGTCCAAGGTCATGTGACTAGTGAGCTAACAAGAGAAGATCTAGGATTCATACCTGAAGAAATTTGGCTTCCAAGTCTGAATTCAGCCACTTTATGATGCTACCTACTTTCCATCCATCC